GCGGGGGCCGGGCAGCTCCTCCAGCCCCGCGAGCGAACCCTCAGCCCCAACCCGCCCCTCCCCGCAGCCCTGCGGGCTGCGCACCGGCAAAGCGAGACCCGTCCCTCCCCGCGGCCTTTCCCCTGGCACCGGCGGGGCCGGAGCGCGACCCGCAGCCGCTGCGGCCGGAGCTGAAGTTGGGCGGCTGGAGAGCCGCGGCTCATGCCGCCCGCTGAGCCGGGGGGGTCGGGGCTGCCCCACACGGCCCCGCCCGGCCCGGGCCGCCCCGCCCGCCGCCTCCGTGCTCACAGCAGCACTTTTTGGGGACGGTGCGAGGTGCACTGAGATCTGCCGTCCCGCTGAATTATCACTTCTTTTTTTTTTCTCCTTGAAAAGGTTTTGGGGGTCTCTGAAGAAACAATCAGCCGCTGCTCTGAAGGAAAGGAGCGATACCATTCAGAGCTACTGTAGCGTAATGTGTTCACTTGGGCAGTAGGAAAACCCTTTATGAAAATTAGTTACAGAGCCTGAAACTCCCCCTCCATCCCCCCGTGTGCCAACCGCAGCCATTGTGCGCACAGGGCTCAGCGCAGACCGCCCGCACGAAGTTGGCCCCGCTTCGGCTCGGGAAGCTCCTCCATGCAGCCCCGGCGCTGGGGAGAGGCGGGAGGCATCGGCGGGGCCGAATCGGGGGGAAGGGGATCCCCGCCTGCTCCCTGCATCACCCGGGGGTCGGCGCTGCCCGGCAAGCGCGGCCGTGCCCTTGAGAGCGCCTGTGACCTCACGGCAGGGAGATTTGGTTGTGCCCAGATACATCCTGCAGCGGGAAAAAGCCCGGCGCGGAGATTCTCCTGCCAGATCCCTCCTTTCTTCCCGCAGAAACTTCTTCCCTAGGCGGCTATTTTACTAATTTACATATAGCGTTTGCGTTAAGACAGGCAAGTTTCTCTTAAAAAATACTAAAGAAAAGAAAAAGGCGTCCAGCCGTCACCAAAAGAACCTCGCTCTGCCCCTGGCGCCCGGTGCCGCTCCGCCGCGGCGGGACGTGGGCAGCAGCGGCACCGCGATCCGCCCGTGACCAGGGCTGAGATGCACCGAGTATCGGCGGGTCCCGGTTGGCACGGCCGGGTCAGGAGGGTGGTGGAAACCGAGCAAGTGTGACACCGGCATTGATTCGCTCTCTTTGTTCTCGTGTCATCGGTACACAATGGAGAGAGAAAGAAACGTGACTTAAAAATCGCAATTAACCGGCTTCAGTGCAGGCTTCTTCCGTGGGTTAGTTCTTGTTATCAAATCCCATTCCTTCTCTAAAAAAGCGCTTCCAATTTTAAAATAAAACAGACGGTATAAAATACTTTCCATCTTTCTATTGTAAGAGTTACTTAAATTACTACTGGAAGTTTCTCACTGGCTCAGTCAGGTCTTGAAAGAACAGCAATTTTTTTCTACTGTTTTAAAAGTATTAACTTCCTTTCAAACATCCCTTAACCTTTAATGTTTTGCAACTTGATGAAAAGGTCACTTTGCTTGGAGTGGGTGCATCTGCTTCGTAATTGTTCTAATATCAAGCAGAGCTCCATCACAACACTAAGTTCTTTTACAAAGGTTTTTTTTCCTTAATACACTATTGGTAAGGTTACCGGGAGTAATTGTTCTAAAGGCAGAGAGCCACAGACCAAAGGATGCTTGCACCTTATTTAATTTCACCAACCTCAGATGCTCAGAGCTGCATCCAAAAGATGACATCAGCGGGGCTCTGAGAGGAGGAACCTGACCAATTCCACCTCGTCCAACTGGGGCAGGCCTGGGGCAGGGCAGGAGCAGCACAAACAGTTGGATTTCTGGACCCTGTTGCTTAACGAAGTATTGCTGAATACCGTCCAATATTCCCCTGAGCCTGCAGCAAGCTCTGCCCGCTCACTGCAGAGCACTCTGCAGGGAACCGTGCAAGGAAGCAGCGCCACAGGTGGGTCAAGGCCCGAGGAGCAGCCAGCACCAGAGATCTGGGGCCACGGGGCAGCAGTTCTCACCAACCAGACCTGAAAAGCGATGCCGTGTTACTAATCCAATTATACCTTCCATAACTTGCTGTGAGGGCAGTGGAAGCCTTTCAGCACGTGTAAATCAGCATTTAGCAGTGGGGACAACACTACTTTGACCACTTAGCCAGTTCTGGTACAGGCAAGCTGTGTTCCTTCCCATGCAAAGGGAACACGTCCATCCCCTTCCTGGTCTCACTGTGCCCCTCTGGGGCAGAATGGGGCCTGGGACAGGAGGAGAACCCCCTTATCCTCTGTACTGCAGCTGCGCCAGACTGCAGTGATCAGAGCAAGGATCTGAAACTGAAGCACTCATCACTCTAAAACACAGCAAAATTTTCTCATTCTTACACAACTCAAACATCCAGTGAACGTGTTTAATTGAAACTTGGTTATACATTTTTTTTTAAAAGATTAAAAAAAAAAAAAGAAATGAGCTAATTATATTGCTTAATATTCTAATAAGTTTTTGTTCTTGTTTTTAAATAACACACTTTTTTAGCCAAGCCAATCCCTTGAGGACTGCTTCCTCATTTATAAGGCAGTCCCCAGTGGGAGTTAAGAGGAGGCTATTTTATATGAGGAAAATGTGTTCTGAAAGAGGAGCCCTACAAAGATAACCCCACATCACATACATCAGGATGGAGGCTAGAACACGTATTCCAGTGATGCAAATCTTCCCCTGCAATAATTTGCTCATTAGCATTACCAAAAGCCCGGATACTGATGTCTATGTATTTGTTCTTGTATTTTTCACCGCACTAATGCTTTTAACTACAATTATTTTAAAATTTTGCTTTATTTAATGAATTTAAAGGTCAATCCTCTTCCTTTCCATATGCAAATCCTATCAACAGTAGAGGCTTAAAATTAATGGGAGTTAATATACTAGAAGCTCCCTTCATGCCCAAACCTCATGAGGGAACAAAATAACCTCAAGATAACTTCACCAAATTCACTGCTTTCTGCTGTTTTTGAGTTGCCAACCAGCCGCAGTACCCTGTGGGTGGGGAGAAGGGATGGGAGGGCAGGTGGGAGCTGCCAGCACAGCTGCAGCTCTCTGACACACACACAGGTGCCACGTAGGAGCTACAGGGTCTGACGGCATTTTTTAACTACAGGTGTTGGTGGTACAACTGTGGCACAGGGAGGTGGGAAGGGACGGCCAGCCCCAGTGCTTTTCCTCTGCAGGCCCTGAGGAAAACATTTGCCATGCCACTGAGAGCAGCTCGGCTGACACGACTCTGGCTGCCTCAGGCCGTACAGGGTCTGTCTGCCAGGCCTTTCAGGCAGCTGGGCCAGGTGCCCATCAGCAGAGCACCGCCAGCCCAGAGCGTTTCTCTGTTGGTGGGGAACAGCAAAACCCCCGCAGTAAGGCCGGCCCTAGGCCTTGGTTCCTCGGGGACAGGACACATGACAGGGCCAACTAAGGACCACAACCACCAAACTCCAGACCTGCAGCCTGACTGACCTTCTCCTGGTGTGCCAGGCCTTCTGCTCCCAGGGATCGCAGAGCTGCCACTGGGATGGGCTGCAGCATTCTGAATCCCCTCACAGAGCTCAGCAGTGGGCGCGGTGCAGACAAGGCTCAGGAGCTGAGCCCTCACAGTGCCGGCAGCACAGATGAGCTCCTGCTCCTCTCACATTGGAGCAGATAACATCACGCTGTCCCACGGCATACATTAAGGCCACCTCTTCCTTCCCAGCTGTGATGTGGCCAAAGCGCTGGCAAGGGGAGGGCTGGAGGGCCGGCAGCACGCTGAGGTGAAGGCTCTGTGGTGCTGAGGAGGTCTGCGCCCTGTTCAGCCCTGCAAGCTGGGATCGCAGGCTGATGGACGCTCACAGCTTCCACTGACTTCTCTGCAAAGCAGAGAGCACAGTTAGGTCTTGTACTTGAAGTGCATGACGCAATAAGACTTACCCAGCTTATGCCTGTTGTGTGAGCGCTGATCGCTCTGTTTCCAGCCGAATGGCAAAGCTCTGTAATTGTCCAGGTACGTCACAGGCTTGAGGTTTGCATTTTTACAAACGTTGGGTGTAAATTACTTCCACAAACAGGAATCTGGACTCGGTGAAACAACACAGTTGTCTGCTATAGCAAATCTGGTGTTCCTGGATTCAAATCTGCTGGAGGCATTCTGGATTTTAATTAATATATTGCTTCATATGTATGAGAATTTCTCTTTCTCTTTCTGTTTTTTTTTTTTTTTTCATCTGTTTTCACACACTGCACTTCTAGTTTAAACAAAACGCATTCTCTGCACTGCTCTCCAAAGCAATTGAATAAATATCACAGACTGTATAGATCCGGTAGCCTTTCCAGTGAGCAACACAGCAGTCATGCTTCACAGAAAAGGGATAACATCCGAGAGTGCAGCTGATAAGAGCAACAATTTACAAAGCAAGAGATCTGTTATGCAGTGAAAGCTTTATTACCATGACTTGACGTTACGTCTCCAGCACATAAGGGTTAATCATGGCAGCAGTTTGCAGCTGGCTGCGCTCTCGGGGGAGCCATAGCGATAGACTTCTGTGTGCAAGACAAGGTCAGCGCCGCTCCCTGGGGTCAGCCGGCCCCGCGATAACACAGCTCCCAAACTTTGGCCCCAAGGAGACACAGGTGCCAAACCCATTTTGTGGTCTGCTGTAGAGCGTTTCTTGTGGTTTTTCTTCTCCTCGATAAAAACACATACATAGCTCTGTGGTATATAATTGGACAGCGAGTTTTCAGAGCTACCCATCAGCGGGAGTTTTCTGTGGCAGCAGTGGGTTTGTGAGCTGGCCGGGTACATGTAACATTTCACGGGAGACTTACTCTTAGTGGACTGATAAAACAGAGCAGGCAGTGCCGAGTGTAAGGGCCAAATCCTGCCTAATTTGTGCAGGCTCATTGTTTAAAATGCTCAAAGGGTAAAGGAAACAGAATTGGACTTCAACATTTTATTAATATTTATCTTCTATTGCTACAAGACACAACAATAATCAAATAAGAAAAACTTTAATCCTCAAATGCAGCTTTAATCTTCAAATTGGTTAGCTTATCAGAGGGGTAACATTTATTTCCAAAGACAGACTGCTTGGAAGGATTGGCTGAAATGGAAACCTGTAAGTGAAAGGATGTAAGTTTATTGGGCAGTGTTGTCTATATTTATAGTTTCTGCTCAACCCGTATTTCTGTTTTTATATGCATGTGTCAAAAATTAATATACGGCAAACTTCACCAACAGTTTTAAGAGATCCTAAAATATAATAAAATCAATAAATGATGTTCTGGCATAAACGTTTCTGTAGCTGAGGGTGGTCAGGTTCAAAGGGCAACATCTGACCATTTCTCTTTCCCACCCTGCTGTGGAGTAGGACCCTCCCCTCAACTTCAAATCACTGGGGAGAGGGTAATTTAAGCTATACTTGATGTACCCTATACATCACTGTCTTCAGGACCAGGTTTAAAATTAAACTCTGATGTACAAAGTTAAACAAAAATGAGATAAAAATTGGCAGGGGTTGAAGAGGGTCAAACTAGTCAAAACACAAGGTAGACTATTGCTTCTTTTGATTTATGTTATTCCGTGCACTAAAAAAAAATAAAATGATACCTCTCATGGAGACTTTTTTCATTGAGAATAACGCATTCCTAATTTGTTTTCTATAGACTTACAGGGCATTTACTGTAGGAGAGGGAAGCATTTATTTATTTATTTAGTTAGTTTGGCAGGGACAGAATATCATCAGCTGCTGGCAGAATATTCAAATTATCATTAAGTGCGACCTTTGTCACTCAGCAGCAAGTGAAAGAGAACAGTGTTTCACTTTCTGTTAGTGGTTATCTTATAATGCACGCACATATAGGCGCATAATCACAGAATTTAGCTTTGAGGCAACTCTTTTAAACGCAAACAACGTACTACAGTCACATTTGGTAACAGAAAGAAGGAGTTCAGTGAACGTTTCCTTTCTCATGTTTTACATGCACATAATGCAGTTACCCTCCAGAAATTCAGTACAGGAAAGATGCCAAATGGAGGATTCTTTTGAAACCAATTCAAGAAAATCCTTGCAGGAAGTTAATTTTTTATGATGTAGTCAACTTTTCCACATATTGCCATTTATATGGTTAGTGTGTGGACTGCAGGCAAAGTAATTCGGAATTGTAATCTTTATTTTCTCTAATACGATAATGAAATCAACTACTATCCGCTGGAATCAAATGATTTTTTTTCTGTGCTACTCCAGTGAGAGGAATACAGGAATTCTGCTGCCTAAACTGCCTCGCTAATGGGAAAATGAAGAAAAATCAAGTTCTCAGACAGCTAGTAAATAAAAAAGTCCTCAATTTAAGCATGCAGGTTGACATGTAAAGATGTTGGAATCTTTTTAAAGCTGATTAGGCAAGGGGTTTGTTTTATTGTTGCTTTTTTTTTTTTTCTGGAAAGTTTTTAATTTTACTAAGAAAAAGTCCTATTGATTCTATATGGATTACAGCTGGCTGGAGTTGGCTCGTTCTTTCTTGGGTTGCATGAGGGCATTGGTCCACAAAGGGATCTAAGCTTTAAAAATGCCTGAGCTTGGTTTTAAATCTAACAGGAGAAAAACACTGTTGAGACAATGATAAAAGAAGAGTTTTTAAAGTGCTGTTTGATTAACATTGACAATGAAGATTCTCTGTTAATTTACTGAGGGCATACCTGCCATTTAGTATGCAGATTTTAGTCTTTCAATAAGTCTAAGTGATGCACTGTATAAAATACATTTTATATGTGTGATGTTACAGGACTGATCTGCATATATGCCTTTAATATGCATGATTTGGCAAACAATTTATGTAACAGCTAATGAACGCAATTTTTCCCGGACACCTGATTGGGAAGCTGAAAGTGAAATAGACATAAAACCAGCAAATCGTTTTAATAGGAATAGCAAGCAAAGATAAAGATCAAATGCTATAACGGGTCCATTATATCACTCATAGTCTAGTGTGCCAAACCCTCTGAGTTTAACAGCAATATTTTTTCTCCTATCAGTGAAGACATTTTCAAATATCTGTTTTGTTTTGTTTGTTTGTTTCAAATCTTGTGGGGTCACAGAGAGAACTAGTCATGCTCTCTGTAACTACAGCAGATTGCGTGCAGCAAAGAGCAGATGCAGGAGCTAGTTGGTTAGGAAAAGATGATACAAAATTTTTCTTTCTCCATTACACTTTAGGAATCAGGAGATCTATGAACTAAGGAGATGGTCACAAAGGTGACAAGGAAGTCCCACAGTATTCACGTACAATGAAAATGCTTTGAGAACCTGCAGGGTTTTAGAATGAAGGTTCAAACAGAACAGGAGCTACTCTGAGGCCAATAGCTGGTCAGAAAGCAGGTGAAGAACAATAAGACACAAATAAATTAAAAAGAGGGAGAACATCAGCTGTTAGACATACAAGTAATCCTTTAAAAATCATGTGCTCAGCCTGTGACACGAGAGATGAACTGATTGATTCCTCCTTGCACAAGGCAGCTGGCTGGGGGAACTGTTCCATGTCCCAGCTGCTCACTGATTCCACTGCCTCACCCAGTCACCCAAGACTGTGATGTGTCAAGGCCCCTGCGTGTGCTGGTCCTGTGAGGGCTTAATTCAGAGCTCATCAAAATCAATAGGAAGATTTCCACTGGCTTTGAGGTAGATTTTGTTAGACCTTTTCCATCTACACAGCTCCAAGAGAGGTTTTCATTTTGATGTAAATATATACTGTCCGGTTTTTTATTGTACAGTATTTTTATGGAATGAAATTTGCTCGCCAACATCTATAAATACTCTAATTATTAACAACATTTCTTCAATCCTTGTTTTATCAGGAAAGCAATCTCACCAGAACCTTCTGTGTCCAGTACATTAACTCGCTCAAGCACTCGAAAGGTACCATGCTCTGAGCAACAGTAAAGAACTGAGCCTATAATTTAATAACCCTCCTTCTGAGTAATTAGTATTCACTCAATGAAATTCAGGCTTTGCAGAGGTCCAGTCAAAGGCCTAAGCACCATTTAAGTCCAGCTGACTCCCTAGGGCATCTCTGAGCTGAATTGGGCCCCATTTTATTAAATTATAATAGAAAGACTGCCATGTCAAGTATTCCAATGCTGAAAGACCCAACCCCACAAGACCTCACACGGATAAGTAATCATCACTTATGCTAATAGCATATTTGACTTCCGTGGGATGACACATGAGGATGGACTACTTACTTGACTAAGATTAGTAAGAACGGGCATGTTACACAGAACAAATGACTTCTAAATACCCAGCTGCAGCGAAGTGCTGACTCCCATCAGTGAGTGCTGCGAGGGTGAATGAAGGGCAGGATATGATCTTTAGAAGCTTCGCTGAGTGCAGTTTCTGAATTGGTGACAGTTTTGCAGATTTCTAACTCATAATAAACCTCAGCTTTGTCTCCTCACTTAGAAGCTTCTCTCTGCCATTCCTCTGTCCTACTTTCCTTTTCTTTTGCCATAATCCCACAATTGTTTTTTTTTCCCCACTCTTCTTTAATATTTGCAAGTGAATTTAGTGTTTTGGAACACATTTAAACAACAAAGTCACAAAACCACGAATGCTCCTATTTACCAGCAGAGCACACTGCTTGGTAGTATTTCTCAATTGCTCTGAATGTCCCACCCCTCTCTTCTGCTGGGATCAGTGCAGCCTCTATGCTCATTGGCTTCTCCCTTCAAACCCAGTGATAAAGGCATCATACTGGGTTTGTCAGTCTAGTGATTTGTCTGAAAAAATGCCTAAGTGTTAGGACATCTGTTGAATACTTTTTTTTTTTTTAATGCAGTCACAGGAATAAACACATTTCTGCCTTTATGCTCTACAAGGCATTTGTAGCAACATCCTAGAAAGAAAAATCTTTGCATCTCACCTGCCTCAGTTTCACTTATTTCACAAATTCCTTCTGGCACAGCTTTACTTTCCTATTTTTCTTCCACTCAATTAAAAACAATTTCATAGCATTCTCTTATGCAGATCTTACTTTTAAAAAAAAAAAATATATATATATATATATATATATATTTTTTTTTTTTTTTGCCTTCTACCACTGGCTGGAGAAGCTTTATCTGAAAGTAGTATTGTTGTCATCACTGGTGACTGGCTTCTAAGGGTATTTACAAATCCAGAATTAATTTGTTCCTAAGATCTAGGCAAAAATATATATCTGGTAGAGGATTTATAACTAGTATACAGAATTTATCCAATACCAAATCCCAAATCCAAAATGATATAACCTAATCACAAAGGAAACCTCAGAACCCACTTTGACCTGTATTGTAGAAAACCGTAAGGCAAAGACGATAATATTACATCATTAGCAGTACTCTTCAGTGAGTATTTTCCATTTTCTTGCAGGCTTCTAGCTCAGCTGTAACAACTGCTCTGTTTGTGTGTGCCTGTGTGTTTTGCCAATCACGAGTGAAATAAAAATGCCCTAATTTCTGCAACTCTGCTTTCATTACACTGTAAAGCACTAAAAGCAGAAACGGTTTCCTGAAGAACCCCTTCATAGCAGGCCCTTGAACAAGATGACTGTTTCTAATAAGCAACAGCTGTCGTTGTGGTTTTACTAGTCAAATGATTCATGTCTTTTGCTCAGAAATGATAAGTGGAACAAATGTTTACTTAGATATGTAACAGAGGAACAATTGAAAAATAGTAGACTGTCAAATAGAAATATTTTCCTGTTATCTGATCCTTAACAATTAGCCCAAACTGGTTTTAAGTCAGAAGGCAGCATTACAGCAGTGCAGTCAGCATTGGTAAAGAGTTTAGCTCAACAGTTTTGCAAACAGAATTCAGCAGGCTGTGTTGGAAATGTTTGCCATGGCCTTGAAGGTCTGGGGGCTGCAAGCAGCTCTGTGCCTGCTGCCACCCACCCTCAGTCCTGGCAATCTCCCCTCCTACCTTCAGTCATCTTCAAAAGGAAGACAGTGAACTTTCCACTCGGTTTATTTTGTCTTCAGGAAATATCAACGCGCTTCTCCACTGCTTGGTCTTGAGTGAATACCCCCTGCTTGCTACTGCTTCCCCAGGATTACAGGGTCTGCTGGGAAGAGCAGAGGAAAAGTACTCTAATGCAAGAGATTCCAGGCTACGTTCAAGGACAAAACAATTGCATTACTCCTTGGGTGCTTGGAAGGAGAAACTAAAGGACCTTTGGTGTCTCTCTGCTGTGCCTGGAAGCTGCTGCAGTCAGAGAGATTTGATACTGCTGTGGCATCTCAGGGCCAGAGGTAAATTTTTGTTAAGTGCAAGAGGAAGCAGTGGTAGACTAACTTCTATAAGCCTAAGAGGACAGCATCAAAAAGCAGTATCTGCTGCTTTGAAGGATGGAGCTGGGGGAGAAATAGCCGCAGAGGAGACCCAGGGAGCCTTGGCATGCTCAGTGTGCAAATGATACCAGTGTACCCACCTGTAATTTATTTGAGCTTATATTGATGCTTGCCAAGAAAACAGGGTTTATACCCACCTTTAGTATGCACTGATTCTGGACTTTGACAGAATTCCCTTGCCAATATTGCTGTGTGACACTGCAATGAGTTGCACAGATTCTCAGAGCTCTGGTTTTCCATATTTCCATTTGTAAAACAGTGGTGATATTTCTTCTCTCCCCTTGCTTAGCTTGCCAGGCTCCTGGGACCAGCAGTCCTTTATTGTGTGCCTCTGTATCATCTTGTACAACAAGACCCTGCTCTCAGCAGCTGAAGATTCTAAGCATCTCTGAAATATAAATAGATACTAATAAGAATATTTTGACACAAGATGGAATTTTATATTCTGGAGAGGGAAATAAAATATGTACTAAAGTCTACTAAAGTGTAACCATGAGATCAAATGATAAAATTCTTCTAGAAACAAAGAAGTGACACAAATTTGTGAGATTAAACTGAACCAAAGCAACAAAGGCTTGTTCGGGTGGCTTATTCACATAAAGTATATGAAAAAGTAAGTGAGATGATCAAATTACCCTCACAGCATGGATTTTGACATGGATGTAGACTAACTGAGTCACTGGAGGACTGAGCAGGTGCGTTGTTCTAATTATACCCTCAGCCTAGTGAGGAAGGAGCAAACTTCCCAGTTGCTTCCCTGGTGGAGATAAGGTGTTATCAGCCATCAGCAAATGAGAGGGGAGAGCAAGGACAAGGCACCTGATGGGAGAAAGAGAAGGGAAGGAGGAAGCTAACAGAGCACATTCATAACACTCCTCATCTTTTAAAAATGTATACACACACCTACTCTGAGCCATTTGTGTGCCACTTCTGAAACTCATTTCGCATGTCTCTGCTTAACCTTTCTCTATGGCAAGGTACACTTTTTTTTTTTTTTTTAACATTTTCTATTTTATAGTCTTGTAGTGAGATAGCTGGCTAAATATGATGCTTTATTTGTTTATTAATTAATCAGCAACAGGCATACCAGGAGTTATAATCCAAGCAGTCCCACACATAGATTTTTATCACTGTATAACATAACCCAAGGGAAATATGCTTCTTTTTTTTTTTTTTTCAAGAGCATAAATGGACATTTCTATAAATTGCAACTACTTGGAAGCATGTAATATGCAATATTATTCATCTTTGTATTCCAGGTGAATCCAGACTAGACTACCAGCCTCTAGGGGAGTCTGCTTCATATAATTATCAGTATTCAAAGAATGATTGTAGATGTTGTAGCTTAACAGCAGGTGAATGGTCCTTATCTGAATATTAAATAAAGTGCAACTTGATTTCCAGGTTCTCTCTGACTAAATGTTTGCAAAGTCATTAGTGAAAGCATGCAGCTATAATCCCAGCCACTCTTTTTCTTACAAAGGATTTCCGCTTTTGTTTTTAATTCCTTTACAGGATGAATTGATCACCTCCCTTTCCTATTCACAGTCTTGTCCCTTGATTGGACTACCAGAAACATCCAGGAATTGCCTTGTAAGTAGTACCTACACTCGTCATTTCTTTAAAATCAGAAACAACAAAAGAAACGCAGGGAAGAGCAAAAAAGAGAAAGATTTATTATTTCCTCTAAGGATTATCAGAGCTCTGAGTGTTGGGAAAAGGCTGTTTAGTAAACTGTTCCTTTGTCCTCCCAAGTTCCAGGAACTTGAGCTCTGTATTTGGTTTCCTTGTTGCACGATCTGTGAGCAGCTTTATATATTTATTTAGCAAAAACCTTTTATTACTGTTTTAAAATGTGGAATTTAATGTACTTGAAAACTATCTTAGTATCTCGATGGTGGATGCTATGCAAATATAGTAGACAGTTGTGTTATAGGAAAATTAATAGCAACGGAGAAAAAGAACAAAAACACCCCCTGCTGAGCAGAAGAGAACAGACCAGAACTGGCAAAGGAAAATTAATGGAGATAAAGGAAAAAGAATTACTGTGGGACTATATAAAACATGATCTTGAAGCACAAGCCATGTCTCAGTCCTCAGCTGAGAAGAGTACAAGAATCCTGCTGGAGAGCTGTTTTTAGGAGGACTGCTTAAGGCTCTCCAGCAATGTATATAAGCTAGAACATCGGCTGCATCCTTTGCCAAGCATCACAAAAACTTTACACCCACTAAAGGTCCATTTTTGGGCCAACAGTGATAAAGCATGTAATCACAAAAATCTCAAATCTGTCATTTAACATCTACATCAATCAATCTAGATAGCTAAAACAACACCAGATTCATCGCTGTGCCATGCCATGCCATGCACTACTCTTAGGTGGATTCTCATTTATTCTAAGCTGTAACCTGTTGAGTTTTCAGCATGACATAGAAAAACTATTTGGTTTTCAAGCAATATACCTCTCACTGCTGTTTCAGACTTCTGCAGGCTCAGACAGATGGTTCTGCTCTGTCTACACCTCTGCAGAAATGTGGAGTAGAAATGTTTATTCAAAAAGGGAGGAGAGAAGAAAGCTGCACACAATTCTGTGCTTAGCTCTGAATTATCCTGCAAGCCAGGTAGTCTCAGGGGTTAGAGAATCCAAGGGACTCTGCTTATGTATGCCAAAGTCCTGGATTTTATGGTGAAAATAAATAGTGAGAGCTTTTTCCAGCAAGTGAGCACTGCTATATTGTTTTCTTGTTTGTTTTTAAATTTTTAAAAGGTAAAAAAGTAAAGTGAACAACAACATTGGGTTGAACAATGCAAAATAGGTTTGCTCACTTTCAAATACTCCTCTCCTCGCTCTCCACACAACTATCTTTCAAAGCCTGCTGATGAAATTATGAAATCCTTACTGTAATTTCATGTTCACTGTGTAAGAATTTAAAGACCCTACGTTTTCGAATTCTCATCCACTGAGAAATGGGCATTCTGTAACTCCCTGTTTCCTACTTTTGCTTACAGGGGCATCTACAGAGGAGCTGGGCCCATTCTGCCCATTTTGTACCTATGCCACAGTACAGTTGCCAGCAATCTAGGAAGCAGCCTGAAGCAGTGTGGTTTTTTCCAGTCCCATATTCTTAGGTGTACTTATGTGAAAGTGAACTGTACAGATCAGTTCTGATATTTCTGTTTTCCTAAGCTGAAAAGAAAAAAACCCAACAAAACAACAAAGGAACTGAACAACCTTTCCTTTTTGTTTGCATGCACAGCTGTGATGATTTTCTGTTAAGGGAAGCACTTTTGCACATTTCCACAGGAGTCCTTAGGTACCTTCTGAGGAATCCATCCTCTAGGAGCAGAAATACAGTATTTTGTCCAGGGCAAAAGACAGAAGCTAACAACTTCTTTTTTTTTTTTTTTCTATTTTGCATTTTTAATGTGTACAAAATAAATAAATAAATAAAAATTAAAAAAAAGAAAAAAAAGAGAGAGAAAAAGAGGTTAAAAAGGAGAAAAGATACAGCCCAAATTGTCTACACAGTTCATAACTTAAATATTCAGCCTTGCTCAAGTGCCAGCCACCTGCAGTCACAGGAATTAGTCCTGATCTATTCTTAAACACACCCATGTTCTAATGATTCTTTTTAGCAACATCAGAATTCACATTATTTGTATTCATTTATATTTTTATAATCTGTGGAAGCACTTGCACACCTCTGGATTTAAAAACAAGCCCTGCAGCAGACCATCTGCACTTAGAAGCTGATGGCCAAACCCAACTCCAGCTGAAGCCAGGGGAAATTCTGACATTCATTTTAATGGTGAAATTATAATCTGGTCAAACTACAGTAAAGGGTAAGATGATTTGCTTAGGGAGGGATGAGGGTTGGCTTTGTCCCTGTCATCAACCACATGCTGGCTGATTTAAGAATGAAACTTGGACCTGTTCACAGAGGTAATCAATCTTTAGATCAGAGCCTCTTGTTCAGCTAGTCTAAGCATTGGGACAAACAGAAAAACAGCAACTCCTAGAGAACATGAGAATGTCCCATGCTTTAGTATCTCGTCCTCCAAAAACTAAGAAAAAAGAAAACCACCACCAACAAACAGGGAGCTGATCCAGCATATGCTTCCTTCTGTAACTGACAGAGTGAGGCTGGTAAATAGCAAGCACAAATTTTACAATTGCATAACACTTACATTAGGAATGTAATTCTCTCTAAGTCTGTAGTACATATGAATTTTCCAAATTTCTGATGGAAGAGGACTGGGGAGAAATCCGACCCGTGCTCAGCAAAGACTTTTCCTGTCCCCTCATGCAGAGACCCCAAGCAGTACAGGCCTGGTCCTCTGCAGTCCCTGCCCTGCCTCTGCCTGCTGCCCTGCTGCAGGGCTGGGAGGGAAGTCCAGGGCGGGTGGGCTGTCCCTATGAACCTCAGCAAGTTCCATAGCACAGCACCATGATTCAAAGCCTTGAGCCACGGGCTCTCTTGACTGCTGCTTAGTACATGCCTGGACATTTACAGCCCATAGCCTTTCCCAAAAAGCCTGACAGAGGCCCAAAGCAGGTAAATTACTGTTAGCCATAGAAGCATTCCTAAACAGATGAGGGTGTGAGCTATGCAAATATTTACCCTATAAATCTGTTGTGTGGCTTGGGAGTAAAACAAAAAGCCACTTAAAAATTTCCTCCAAATTTGGCCATAGCATAGTTGTGCTAGTTCAAAGAAACAGAGTCAACTTTATTGTTATTAGTGCTTGGATCAAAGAAAATTATGAAAATAAACATTAGACAGAATGATAATCAACACTGGAAAAGAAATGTTTACTAAAGATTTTCTTCTGTGTTCTCTTACCAGAATTAATAATATTTTCTTTTTCTAAAGTTTTCTTGCTTCCTTCAAAGAGATTGATTTCAGTAGAAAGAACAAACATATGCAAATAAACTGAATGATGTTATACCCCCTGCCCCTACCCCCCCAAAATGCATCAGATAATTCCATATTGTTAGTCTGCATTACATTTTTATCAGTTTTTTGTCTTAATCAGATATGAAGCTCTTGCAGTACATCTCTAGAACCGAGCCGTGACCCTGATGTGACTCTACAGCACAGAAGCAGCCTTAACCCTGCTGTAATCTAATAGTTCAAATTTAACGGATTTGTTTTTTCAGTGGAAATAATGGCTTCCTGTCACAAAACAGAGCCACAGATTACATATCTGACAAATGGCTTTGGCATGATTTTTTCATGTAACACACAATTAACAGGGCTTTCTCATAAGACCTCATGGTTTACAGATCTGGTGAAATCATTAATAAGTTCATTACTGTGTATTTTCTTCTTGAAAAAAAATCAACATTTCTGCTGGTGCTTTAAAAACAAATAATACTTTGCTTTGAA